ATATGTCCACACCCGGTCACAATAATAATTAGTTATACAAAATATTAAGTGAGTCACAAGAAGTACAAAGCTGTGGGACCTCAAAGGCAGTGGAGATTATCATGTCTGAGGGCAATGTGTGCGTGTGAATATAATGCAGAAGAATTCTGTAGTTTGGAAATTAGGGAGGAGGTGCAGGATTACCAAAAAAACTTTTCCAGAGGGCTGAGGAAGGAGATTATTGAGATGGTTTGGATATGTAGCGAGGTTGGAACGAAATAGGGATGACATCGAGAGTGTATAAATCTGTAGCGGAGGGAAGGCTGGGGTAGGATCGGCTTGAAAGGGTGGAGGATGAGGGGTAAAGGAAGTTTTGTCGGTGAGAGGGGTTTGGACTTCAAGCAAGCATGATTATATGTACTGGTACATATATGTACCAGGGCTGTTACTGCCGGGATGTGGCTCGTACGTTGGTTGCATGCAGCCAGCAGCAACCTGCCTGGGTTGATCAGGCTTGAATTCACCTTGAAGGCCTTAGTCACAGACGGGCCGGCGGGGGCGTGACCCGGAACTTCTCTCCAGGTAAACTCCAGGTAAACAATTATCATACCTAGTAACAAATATGTAGAAATTACTCTTTAGAAAGTCAGCCAAGAGGACTTATTTCCATAGAGTCTTGATACCAGCCACTAGATTCGCACCACTCTTGGCACCTATTTCCTGCCTAAAGTTAACAGGATTTCTGACGAGGAAGTGAAAGTAATAAAACTCTGGTCTGTATTCCATGAATTTATTAGAAAGATAATTTGCAGTTTAGGAAGAGGAATGGGAACGTCGCTGAAGACGATCTCAGATGTGCCGTTGTACTGCTCGAAAAACCACCACCTGCAGGGAAGCAAAGTAAGTAAGTTTATTTTCAGGTATACACAAAATACGTTACATAGATTATCATACATAGCAGCTATGTGTAAAATACCTACATCGGGAGAAAATCATCAGTTAGACAAAATATAGATTCCCACCCACACACACACAGGTCTTACAGAAGACCAATTTCAGAGCTAAGGGAGGACACAGGAGTCAGAAAAATACCAACAAGAGCTACAAGCAAAATAACAAGAGGTGGGAACTATCAGAAAGAGATTTTTGGCATAACAAAAGGTAGTGTGACCATGACAAAATATTTCCTGGAGTGGAACAGAGAAACTTGAATAAACCCAAGAACTGAAGGTTCATCTATATTCTTTTCAACATGGCCAGTGTGAGTAATGTGGAATAAATTTCCCCAAATTATACTGTGTAAATAAACTGATTAAAGTGTATTTTAGAGATGGACTAGTCGACAGGGGAGGCTCTGCGCCTGCACTGACGAAGGGGGAGAGAGCCATTGTTTTTTTTTTAATTTTCGGGCACTTTAATGTAATGTGCTTAATATTCGTCGCTCTAGGGGTTATTATATAGGGTTTAAAACCTCTCAAATAGGAGCCGAAATTGTTGGGATGTGCAGTTCCTGATAACTTGAGCATTAAACAGATGTACAAGACAACTTCCCAGGTAACCTCAGATAAGCTATCATAAATTATGTTTGGAATTTGCAGTATTATCATCATAAATTTATTTAGAGGGGGGTTCCTGTATTTGACACCACAATAATCCCCAGAACTAATTGGTGAGTGTTTATGAGTATATATTCCTTCATGTTATAATATGTGTATATGTAAATCATTTATTAATTTTAATAATACAGTCCACAATTTATAATTAATTTTATCAGAATTCTGGGTGATGTTTACCATGGAGAGAGTTCCGGGGGCTGCAACGGCCCGCGGCCCGGTCTGTGACCAGGCCTCCTGGTGGATCAGAGTCTGATCAACCACGGCTGTAATGCTGGCTGCACGCAAACCCAACGTACGAGCCACAGCCGGAATGGTCAGGAAACCGACTTTAGGTGTCTTGTCAGTGCCAGCTTGAAGACTGCAACGGGTCTGTTGGTAATCCCCATATGTATGCTGGGAGGCAGTTGAACAGTCTTGGCCCTGACTCTTATTGTATGGTCTCTTTTAACGTGCTAGTGACACCCCTGCTTTTCATTGGGGGATGTTGCATCGTCTGCCAAGTCTTTTGCTTCCGTAGTGAACGTGATTTTCGTGTGCATTTCGGTACTAGTCCCCTCTAGGATTTTCAGGTGTATTTTTTGTTGTTTATTGTATACCACCGGCCGAATTCCCACCAAGGCAGGGTGGCCGAAAAAAGGAAAAAATTTCACCATCATTCACTCCTTCACTGTCTTGCCAGAAGGGTGACTTTACACATACACGTTTTTAAACTGGCAACATTAACACCCCCTCCTCAGAGGTGTATATAATTGGTTATCTCTCACCCGCCTGCATTTCCAGGGAATACAGGTTCAGGAACTTCAAGCGCTCCAGTATGAGGTGGTTTTATGTCCCGTTATGCGCGCCGGTGATGGTTCTCTGTACGTTTTCTAGGTCAAGCAATTTCAACCTGTTGTGGTGCTGTTAGGTGCAGCTAATATTCCCAGCCTAGATAGAACACAAATGACCTGAAGTGTGTCATCATGGGCTTGGCATCCCTAGTTTTGAAGGTTCTCATTATCCATCCTGTCATTTTCTAGCAGAATGCAGATTGATACAATGTTTATGGTCCTTGAAGGTGGAATCCTCCGTACATGATCTCTCCACCCAGGTCTTTGACGTTTGGTGTTTCGCTCTTATTTTGTGGCCAGATTTGTATTGTTACTCTGATGAAGATTTAATTTCCTCATGTTTACCATATCTGAGTAATTGAAATATTCCTCGCGTTGAACTTATTATTGTTTTGTGCAGCCCTCTGATGATTGGTTGATGTACACGCCTTGTGGAGCATTGCAGTGTCTGCAATTGGAAGCGACACTGTCATGCAGATTCGGGTTGTCATCTGCAAAAGGAAGACACGGTGCTGTGGCTGACATCCTTGTCTATGTTAGATATGAGGATGAGGAACAAGAGGGAGCGAGTGCTGTGCCTTGTGGAACAGAGATTTTCACCGTAGCTGCCTCGACTTGATTGTGACTATACTCTCATGTAGTTCTGTTAGTAAGGAAATTATAGATCATCGACGACTTTCTGTAATTCCTTTAGCGCGCATCTTGTGCGGATATTATGCCATGGTCAAACTTGTCGAAAGGCTTTTGCAAAGTCTGTTTATATTTACATCTGACATTTCTTTTTGTCTTCTAGTGATCTAGGACCTTGTCGTAGTGATCCAATAGTTTGAGACAGACAGATGAGCGACTGTTCTAAAACCCATGTTGCCTGGGTTGTGTAATTTTGGCGTTTCTAGATGGGTTGCGATCTTGCTTCTTAAGGACCCTTCAAGATTTTTATGATATTGGGATGTTAGTGCTATTGGGTCTGGTAGTTCTTTGATATTGCTTTACTGCCCCCTTTGTGGAGTGGGGCTATTTCTGTTGTTTTTAGTAACTGGGGACGGCTCCGTGTCATGCTTCCCTCTCCATAGGATGGTAAAAGCTCGTGAAAGGGGCTTTTTGCAGTTCTTGATGAACACGGAGTTCCATGAATCTGGCTCTGGGGCAGAGTGCATGGGCAAGTCATTTATCGCCTGTTCGAAGTCATTTGGCGTCAGGATAACATCAGATAGGCTTGTGTTAACCAAATTCTGTGGCTCTCTCATAAAAAATTCATTTTGATCTTCGACTCTCAGACTGGTTAGTGGCTTGCTAAAAACTGAGTCATATTGGGACTTGAGTAGCTCACTCATTTCCTTGCTGTCATCTGTGTACATTTCATTTGCAATTAATATAGGTCTAGAGCAACTTGTGAAGAGATAGATGGTAGGTATCGAAGGGGGACATTTTTTGCGACCTAGGTGTCCTAAAAATTCCTACTTGTCTCTGTAACTTTGATAAATAATAATTATCTTTGTTACCATTTACTTGTATGTATCTAATGAGATTCATCCACGTAAATTTAATTTTCCACAAGTAATATGTATTTCTTTATATGCGTCAATTCTTCTGGGTCTCTGTACATTACACTAGTGTTATTTAAACCACGCCCCGCCTAGACCGTCTGCCGGGAAGCGACTCTCAGTTCGATTCCGACCAGGGCAGAGGAAGTCGTGTGAGAAAGGCCGGGCTCGTCTTACTCTCCAATATAACAGTCTTATTAGTGTTATTGCTACCTCACTCGAACAACACTCCAACAACAGTTGCCGAAAAAACTGGTCCCAGTGCAAGAAAATGAGTAAAGAGGTACTGAATTACATGCCAGTATCGTTAAAATACATTTTTTGAAAGGTTTTAAAGAAATTGCAAAGAAAAAGTTGTTAAAGCATTTGGAGAGGTTTTTCAGATAAATCCAGGAAGGTTTTGGGGATAAAATTCATGTCTTATAGACTTAGAGTTCCATGACAGCCACGAGATAAAACACGAACGACAAAGATGGATGGATTGCATTACCACCCTAGATAAGAGTCCAGAAATAAGATGATCAAGTGTTCCAGTGGGTCAGGAGTTCCTGACAAGAAGGCAGAGTAACAGTAAGGGATGACGCATCAAAATGGGAAAAAGTAACGGGTTAGGTCTCACAGGAGTAAGTTTTACTACTGCTATTAAGAATCGACAGGGTAAACAAAAATAAGCTGTTTGAGAGGAAGAGACTTGGAACAACCGGACAGCTGAGTGATTGCTACGATAGAATATTTAATTTTAGGGTCTTTTAAAAGTGGATGAACTAGTGGTGGTGGTGGTCGAGGCTTCCTACATTCACAATTTCAAGAGTACGATAGAACCCGGAGGGACTCTTGACTAGTAGATGTCGGCTGAATTTATCTGAGATAAGGGAACAGGAGCACTGCATTAACTCTCGAAAACAACTCTTTGAGAAAACACACAAACACACACACGAGAGAGAGAGAGAGATAACTGGAATAATAACATAAATTTAATCATGAGCAGAGATATAATGTAAATTAATGATAGCACTGTGGATTTGACAAACCTCATTGGTTCCTTGCTGGAGCAACGGCGCCGGCAAGTACAAGGTCTTGGTGGGACCAACATGCCAGTAGCGACCCAGGTTAAAACCATTGATGAAACAACACCCCTTTTTCCAGGCTTCATGTCCAGCCCAAATGTCTTGAGGTGTGTCAGGAGTCCGAGTGGCGCGGTACATGCAGGGGTCGCCAAGGGAACCCCTGAACTCATCCCTCCGTCGATGTTACACACCAAATTATTTTTTTAAAA